ATATATATATAAATTTAAACACTACATGAAAAAAGGCAAAGAATTACAATGTAATTATTTAAATTATTAATTTTGCACAAAATTTTAACCATATGAAATATAATTTTAAAATATCAATTTTTTTTATTTCTCATTTAATTTTACTCTATAAAATAATTATAAATTTTGTTCTATTTTTTACTTATATATTTCCTATTAAATCATTTCTCATTTATTTTCTTTTATTCCCTTCGATTCTTCCTCCTTCTCCAACCAAAATGTAAAATTTCTTCCCGTGCATGAGATCAATCGATGACCGAGTATTTTACAAGAGGTCAGTAAAACAACCTAGGATATACAACCCTTCCAACCTTAAATATGAAGGTAAAAAGTTTAGATGAAATTATATTTGACTAAGTTGATTGACAATCTAAGAAGATATACAATCTCTCAAGTCTCAAGTTTTATAAAGACAAAAAGACCAAATAAAAACCATATATATTTATTTAAGTAGTTCAATCTCCCCACTAGAAATACATTAGACACCCAAAATAGATCAGCAAGTGTTATTCTTTAACAAGCTTCTGAATAAAATTTTCAAGAAGGAATTAATACAGATAAATACTTTTCAAGAAAACTTCAATACTATGAATTGTCCGTATCTCATTAACAATAATCATACAAATAGAAGATGCAATAAGGACCACACAAGGACATAAGATAAGAGCACGGCTATAATTAATTATTAGGGCTAGAATTTACGTAGGTCAACTTCAACATACGAATCAAACCGCACGAATATGAAGCATAAATTTGCTTTGCAAACGAAATGATAAAATATGCAACTGAAACCGACTCACTTTTTGATCATACTGTTCAAATATACATCATTAAATAACAACCATGAAGAATTCTATTTTAGTAACTACTGGGGATTGAACAATTATTGAAGAACATGCTAAAAAGTAGTTGATTAGTAAATTAATATTATATCTTTCCAACCAACTATATAATGATAATTATTAAATATTAAAACCAATTTTGTTCTGTAGCATGAAGAGACACTAATCAATGAGAATTCATTGAGCCGAAAGTGTGGTTTAAATTCATAAAAACCTGCTAGGAATTGTTATTTTCTACAGCTCTCACACTGATAAGAGCTTTGATTGTGTATGAATATCTCAAACACTAGTGTCCCCATCAGTGACATCACCTATTGCTCTTTTTACTTCTGGAAAAATAGAACGATCATATGCTATGTTCTTTGGACCTATAGTGCCGTTTATATCATACAACGTCATCACCTCTTTAATTACAAGAATGTGAGCAGGCTTCACATTTCTTACGCAATAAGAATATAAACTTATTTAGATAAATAATTTAATCATGTGTACTTATGCAAAAAGTATTTATTATAAAAGAATATTTTAAAAAAAGCTTAATTATATTTTTTTATCACTCATATTTTATGATTTCATTAATTTTTTTCACCTGATTTTTTAACTTACATATTTTTCACCATGTTAGTCAATTATCTTATATTATTAATTAACTTTTAAGGTGATATATTAATTATTGACATAAATTAATGATATAATATATAAATGATAACATAACATACATATTGTCATTGATAAAAATATCATTCTAAAAATTAGCTAATGGTATAAAATAGTCAACTAAAAGATAACAATATTTACAAAATTTTAAAGTTAAGAGCAAAATAAACAAATTTAAATAGCAAAATCATGAAAGATAAAAAAAAAGTGAAATTAAATTAAAAATTTATCAATGTAGTGAAACTAATCATTAAAATAAATTTTAAAAACATAAAAATTATATTCTTAATATCCTTGCATGATATAAATATTAGAGACTTAATGAGCTCATAAAAGGTGGTTTTGCTTAAAATCAAAAAGGGCACTTTGGCCTCACATCATATGTATATAATAGTTCTTGATTAAGTAATGGGTGGTCTTCATGGCAGCATGCATGGTTGTTATAGCCCCACGCATGGTAGGAGGGTCGTATATACATATGGTGCAATATACACATCCTTCTGTGTGATTATGAATTTGTGCCGCCAGCACTCACAGACGTCCTTTCCATTTTGATTTCAAACTTTGTTGGTTCATTCAAATATTGGTTTGTGTCACTGTTACGTGCATGATTATAGTTCTAAAGTCTACAAGCAAAACATAGTGTTACACAGAAACCTCCAATACTAAGCTGATTTCAACATCAAAATATTGGTCGGTATAATATTTATATATTTTATTCAAAGCTTGAATTACTCTTCAAACAACACGGGGATATAATAATATATATAAACATTTTTAAGGCATATATAACTCTCTGTATGTGAACAATATTTGAAAAAAATGAAAAATAATAATTCTAGAATTTCAATATAGAATCCGTAAAGTACAGAGAAGAAAGTACAAACGCATTTATTCTTGGTAAAATTCAAAGTTGTTCCACTAAACTTGAGTTGGTGCATCTTTACTTATTTTAAATTCAAACCTAATATTTTCCAGAATGTTCAGAGGATAACATTTTTTACATGAGAATATATTATTGAAATTATAGTTATATATCATTCGCAACTTTTTAAAAATTGCATATATATATATATATAAATTGTATCGTGTATTTGGTTAAACAACTGATAAATATATTTAATCAAACATAATTGGTAAATATTTCCTCTCTTTAAATAATTAATTAAAGCACACAAGTGGTTCGCGAAAATTGCAATTTCATCAAAAGTCGAACATAATAAATTTGTCCTAAACTTATAATCGCTGAAAAACACAGAAAAGTCTCTTAATTAGCATATATAAGTTGCATGTAAATGTACTCTTCTCAAATATGGCTAAAAGTTTTCATGTGTTTTCTTTAATCAAATATATGTGGTTAAGATCGTAACAAATCATTTTAGTTTATTTTACTTTTCAAGATTGTTAGATCCCAAAACGGCTACTGAGAACCGTATTGCATATATACATATGAAATATATGAAAAATATGTTTAAGTACTAAGGAGTGTCATCTTTCATTGGTTGATCCCCACTCAAGAATAAATCCCCTTTCACTTTTTGCGGGAATTGTCTGATTTGGTCTTCTCATTTTTAATGTGTCATTAATTATATAATATGATGATTTATATATGTTTATGTCGTTGGTTAATTAATATGATGAAGATGTACTTGGGTACTTGGCTAGCTAGATCGGTAAAGAATCTAATCTTCCTAGATTTTGCAAAATGGAGTGTTGGTTCATTGCACACACACAAAAAGACAAATTAAAATCCATCCTCTTTGTCATTCAAAACACTCATCTTGTTTTCATTGTTATTGAATGCTGATTGACTAAGTTATCTAGGTGATGATAAAACTAGTTTAGGATTACAATATGGGATCATGTACATAGTCATTCCTCACTTGACATGTGTTATGTTCCATCTTGTAGTCAAGAGTGCCAAAATATTGATTGGGAGGCTTCTTTTTTCAAAATTTTCTTGAAGATATATATATATATATATATATATATTTATGCAATTAATTTTGTGTAATTTGAATTATTTTAGGATTAGTGAGTGC